ATTTATAAGTCAATTAATAATATTATTATTAATTATTAAAAATGTTTTACATCTTTTTCAGAAAGGGAGGGGGGGGGGGGGGGGTGATAATCTTGCCTTGAAAATATAGCAGGCTTATAATTGTCCAGTACAAAGAGTATGGCCCATAATCGCTACACTGATCTGGGCCACACAGCTCCCATGCACAATCGGCCCAAATGTTGTGTGCCATCATGCAGTGCCATATCATTGCCACATTTGGCCCACACCTGGCTGACATGATCTGGGCCACACACCTCCAATCCACAATCGGCCCAAAAGTTGTCTGCCGTCATGCACGCAGTGCCATCATTGCCACACTTGGCCCACAATTGGCTGACATGATGCATGCCAGTGCCGGCAACACGCCAGCAGTGCCATGTTGAGGCCACATTTGGGCCAAGTCTATTTGCTATGTGGGATGTGATCTGCGTGCACGAATGGCAAACCGTTATGTTAGAACCTTCAGAAAAAAAGTGAACAAACATACAAATACAAAGTAATTTTTTTTAAATGCATTTATTTATTGCAAATGTTTATTTGTTAACACAGTTTATCAGTGTTTTTAACTGATAAACAGTGTTAACAAATAACAAATAAACAGTTGTAGCCTACTACAGTGGTGTGAAAAAGTGTTTGCCCCCTTTGTAAATATGATCAGAGATGGCTGTAAAAAATAAATCTGCATTGTTAATCCTTTTGATATTTTATTTAAAAAATTTGAAAAAATCTAACCTTTCATTGAAGTAAAAGAATTGAAAGTTGGGGGAAAATCACATTATGAAATAAATGTTTTTCTCCAAAACACGTTGAGAACAATTATTTGCCCCCTTTTATTAAATACTTTTTGCAACCTCCTTTTTCCAAGATACCAGCTCTGAGTCTTCTCCTATAATGCCTGATGAGTTTAGAGAACACCTGACAAGAGATCAGAGACCATTCCTGCATACAGAATCTCTCCAGATCCTTCAGATTCCCAGATCCATGTTGATGCTTCTTCTCTTCAGTTCACCCCACTCATTTTCTATGGGTTCAGGTCAGGGACTGGGATGGCCATTGCAGATGCTTGGTTTTGTGCTCAGTGACACATTTTTGTTTTGATTTTGTTGCTTGTTTTTGGATCACTGTCCTGTTGGAAGATCCAACCACGGCCCATTATAAGATTTCTAGCAGAGGCTGTCAGGTTTTGATTTTTTATCTGTTGGTATTTAAACGAATCCATGATGCCATGTATCTGAACAAGAAGTCCAGGACCTCTGGCAGAAAATTAGGCCCACAACATTAAAGATACAGCAGAGTATTTCATTCTACACATGGGGTACTTTTTATACCTGTATGAACCTAACCCATCTTAAGTGTTTGCTGCCAAAAAAGCTAATTTTTTTGTTTCATCTGACCATAGAACCCGTCCCATTTGAAGTTCCTGTAGTGTCAGTTACTTTTCAAACGTTCTATGGTCAGATGAAACAAAAAAAATTGCTTTTTGGCAGCAAACACTTAAAGGGATAGTTCACTTTGAAATTAATTGTTGATATGTTTTAGCTTACCTCAAAGGCATCCAAGATGTAGGTGTCTTTGTGTCCACAGTATTTTCAATTTTGATATTTTTAGGTCAAACCGTTCTTGTCTGTCAGTCATAATGCAGGTCTATGGGGTCCACCTCAAAGAGCATGCACAGAGAAGTCCAAATTAAACATGATTTAATGACTCGTAAATGTAAGTACACATTGATGGCCTAAGACACGAAACGAGCGGTTTGTGTGAGAAAACGAACTTTAATTAGCCGTCTTACCTACAATCTCTGTTCTGTGTAAACAATGAGTGACGTACACGCTCGAGAGATCACTTCCGGTGCTTTCCGGAAAAGACCGAAGCGCCGGCGACCTCTGATAACTTGCACGTGGCTGTGTTTACAAGAGGTAAAAAAGATATAAATACTGTTCGTTTTCTCACACAAACCGCTCGTTTCGTGTCTTAGGCCATCAATGTTACATTTACGAGTCATTAAATCATGTTTAATTTGGACTTCTCTGTGCATGCTCTTTGAGGAGGACCCCATATACCTGCATTATATGACTGACAGACAAGAACGGTTTGACCTAAAAATATCAAAATTGAAAATACTGTGGACACAAAGACACCTACATCTTGGATGCCCTTGAGGTAAGCTAAAACATATCAAAAATTAATTTCAAAGTGAACTATCCCTTTAAGTTTGGTCTGCAAATCGTTCCAAGACCAAGGGCCATAATAAAACAGGCTTAGCTTTCCAGCCTCTGTTCTGATAGCAGGCACTTTGAACTGAAGCCATTTATGTGACCTGAGATTATGACCGCTTTGAAATGATGAAAAAAACTTGGCCCTTGAATGTCCCTTAATGGCCCCTGTTACAGAAAAATCCTAGAACCGCCACTGGTGTTGACAATGGCAAATAGACTCCTCTTGAAAGATAAATAATTGAAAACAGTGACCTCCTATGTTAGGTGTAGGCAATCCTAATCATAGAGCAAACATAAGTTGTTGTTGTTGCTGAAAACGTCTTTAGTCTGTGCAGTCGGTCAATGTTGAGGTGAATTGATGACTGGCGAAGCCCTGAGCGTATAATAACATTGCGGATGGTTTTACATTGAAGTTGGTTGAAAGCCATGTGCAAGTCATCTGTAAAAGGGTGCTATATGCGTGGGCAGAAAACGCCGAAGGACGACGTGACAAAACGGCCTTATATGACACTCTGAGATGAGAACGGGTTGGTATTTTATGTGCCAAAAACAATTGTTTAATCATTTCTCCCTCACACTCTCCCCTTACAAAAAAAGATTCACTTTATTAAGTATCCTTAAGTAAAGTTCAAGTATATTTTTGTAGTAAGTATTGTAAAACCTAACAGTTACTTTAAGGGTAGGCATTTTTGATTACACAACTAGTTTACAACTACGTTTTTTGATTGTACTGCAACTATATTACAGGCGAACTGATAGGTATTCTGATAGTTTACAAGTCAAATACTTGTAGCACATGTTTCATAAATTGCAGTGAGCACACTAACAGAGACTTGCACGAAGAAGAGCACACCACTGAAAGATATCATTATACATTGTTCTATCATTAATGTTACGTTGAGGCAGGAATGCTGAGAGTGAATCCAATTGCAAGCACTTTATTAATTAAATAAACAGGAAATCCAGACAGAACAAGGAACTCAGAACAAAAACAGGAACATGGAAACCGCTATAAGCAACAACATCAAACAACGACCGACAAACACCAACTGAAGAACATGGGTATAAATACACAGGCAAACAAGCTAAACAAGATAACAAGGGGGCGTGGCTAATCAGAAACACATGGGGAGACTAATCAACAAAACGGGGAACAGCTGAACATGAAGACAGGGAAACACATGACAGACAAGAACAAGGAACAAAACACAAAACCCACACCGTGACAATTAACATTACATTGTTAAACTTAAAAGAAATTATTTTTTATTATTTTTTAATAAATAATGTTTTGCACTTGAAACAACGTCAGAGTTTAAACAACTGCATAAGATAAGAAAGACACGCAATCGAATCGAAACAATAGCAAAGTATGAAGATATATGAGAAAAAATATTTAATGTCCCTGAATTCCTCTGTATTCATATCTTGGGTGTCTCTCCCCACATTTAATTTACAAATAACCATAAGGAAAGGCTTGTTACTTATAAACAGGTTTCTGTATAAGGAAAAATATTTTAAACGCTTACAATTTAAAAGCATGTGGATCTATTGTAAGAACGATATGTTCCTGACGCCTGTTCCTTCACTAATACAACCCACGGGGAATTTACATATCACATGACATGAACAGGTGATCTACACAAACACCCCAGTGCACAGCGCCATCCAGTGGTCATCAAGTAATCATTACATTTGGTTCCTTCATTCACTGTTGTCCATCAGTATCAGTAACTCACGTGACCTTTAAACACTGGACAGTACAAACATGACCTTGGCCAATTTAACTGGTTGACGGGAATTTCATCGCCCTTATTTGTACGTTATATGGGTAAATGTTTCATCATGATGTATTGGCGTATGGATAACTTAACTGACTTCTGAACCTATGGAAGTCAGTTAAGGTATCGTTGGACCCAAAAGTGTTGCAGTGACGACTACGAAAGCAATGCTGCACAATATTGTGGTGTCAGCAAAGAAGGAGGTTGTGGAAGAGGAAGTTTTGATGGAACAGACTTGTGCAAATAGCAACATCTGTGAACCAATATCATGAAGTATACAGAGAAAAAAAGTTAATTGATATTTATCTTTAAAACGGTTCTGTTGAGATGCATGTCAATCAAGCAGACGAGTTTAAGGGTAATAGAGAAGTTTTATTGAGGATTACAGACGGGTGGAAAAACACAAAACTGCACCTTTCTTCCCTCATTTTGCTCATTCGGTAGTTCTTTCCAACCCGATCTCACGGCAATTCGTACAAATTTTATGCGGTGGCTAATTCGTAACAATGCGTACGACCTCACTCTTAAGAATTAGTAAGATTTTTGCAAAATCGTACATATTTTACTAGTTGCCCAATTCAAATGAATTCGTATGAATGACCTACCCCTGACCCCGCCCCTAAATCTACCCATCACGTGGGTTTAGACAAATCGTACAAAAATTCTTACGAATTAGCCACCTTTTAATCAATTCGTACAAATTCGTACGAATTGTTCTTTCAATGCTCAAAAGTGTTAACTAAGTGCTTAAAGGGCATCATTTACTCACCCTCAAGTTGTTGCAAACCTGTATGAGTTTCTTTCTTCTGCTGAACACAAAGGACGATATTTTGAAGAACGATTGGAACTTTGGCACCACTGAATTCCATAGTAGAAAAAAAAAATACAAGTCAATGGTGCCAAAGTTCCAATTGTTCTTCAAAATATCTTCCTTTGTGTTCAGCAGAAGAAAGAAACTCATACAGGTTTGCAACAACTTGAGGGTGAGTAAATGATGACAGAATTTTCATTTTTGGGTGGAGTCTCCCTTTAACATTTCATTAGACTAGCTGAATCTTGCACATGATCTTACACACAGAAACATGCACGAAGAAGTGCAGAATACCGTATAACACCAACGTAAAGAAATAAATTTATTTTTAGCATTAAGCTTATTTAGGGTAAAAACAGACTTGTGAAATGAGAGACAGTGAAGTTCTAACAAAAAGGATGGAAAAGGAGAGTGAACAAATGTTTGGGAAATAAAGCTCTGTAAGGTTTTTTTCAGCCTATCTTCTTTGTATTAGTTATGCCTTCTTCATAATGTACAGGCCAGCCTTCTGCACAGCCCAACACAACGTAACGAGTCGACTTCTTCCCCGTACGATATTCACATCTTGGGGGTCTCTCCCCACTTTGTAATTTGCAGGTGATCACAGGAAAAGGCTGGTTGCTCTTAAACAGGTTACCGCCCTGTGGAGTTCCTCCTCTGCCACAAACTGCTTTAATATTATTTGAATTAGCTTGTATGAAGGTGTTGACAGGTTTGCAGCCATCGTCAGCTCCAGTGATGCCTCTCTTTCTCATTTCACTTGTACACTTCTGCTCACTCATATCAGGACCGAAATGCTGATTGAGGAACTTTTGATAGCGTGGCTTTATATGTGGTGGTTGAGCATGAGTGGAGAACGACACACACAAGACCAGCATCAGAATCACAGCAGACTGATGAATCTCCATGACCTGCTGAACAACACACACATCAAAACACCTTTACTGACATTTGACTTATAAAGCAGTTTGGTGCTTTTGAATGTACTTTGTTTTCCATCTGAACCAAGACACATTTCTTGCATTTCTTATACTCGCTCAGAAAAGTTCTAAAGTTTTACAAACCCCAGAAAATAAATGTGCCCGCAGAAAAACACATTCTCAATGTATGTTGCATGCTTTTTTTTATACGTATTTCTCAATGCTTTAAAGATTATTGATTGACCATCTTTTTCCAAAAAAAAAAAAAAAAGACATGTAACAAAAAATATTAAATGAGCTCAAGGTAACTGATACTCACACAGGTTGCAGTCTATAGTCTGGGATAGTAAACCTCTGGTCTGTATTACGATGACCTTCTCAAAGTCCAAGCGAATGCAGTCAGGCTTAATCTTGGGGTTAGATGAATCTTCAGGTAGATTATCTACAGATCTCGAAGCTATCAGTCATCAGTTGGAAACAGGCTCCTCAACATCTGTGATGTGTATCAGATCTCAGGAGAATGATCAAGCAGACACAGAGACGGTGTAATAACATTCTCAAGTATATTAAAGAGGGGTCATATTTATACACAAGATAAAGCAGAATCACCCATGATGTCCAGACCATCCAATCATAGCACTCAAAGTTCAACCCTACCATATATAGCATATTAAGAAATATAATAACAACGGTTAAATGTTTAAATGTATGTGCGTGTCTTGAGTTCCCGTTTGTGTGCGAGTGTATAAGTGTGTCCAAGCCCTTGTCCATGATGTACACATAACATAACGAAAAGAAGTTACACAAGGACAGCCTTACACAAGAATTGTCAAAAGTGGAGCCTAAGAAATAAGAAAGTATTAACACTTGGTGTCACAACACTGGCTTTACAATGTCCCGGTCCACTCATGATTTGAATGAGCATTCAATCGTGTGCAGAGATGTAACAAAGTAGAACTACTTCACTGCTGTACTTAAGTACTAAAAGGCTGTATCTGTACTCTAGTAGAGTATTATTTTTTCTCCTACTTCCACTTTTACTTCAGTCCATCTTTTCGATGAGTTTAATACTTTTACTCCGATACATTTTTTATGTGCTACATCGTTACTTGTTACAATTATAAAAATGTTACGAATCATTCCAAACCCATATAATCACTGCCAGAGCGGTAGATGGCTCTGTCACCAGGTTTAATGAAGCTGGCTCATGAGGGAATCAAGCGATCAAGAAGACCGCGCGTGCTCCTGTTCTGCCTTTCGCTCTGCTGCCTGCCTCCATTGAGAACAATTGAGATTTGTTAGTTTGTTTCGAAATGGAAGAACCAGAAACACCACCTTCAACTTCGAGTGATCGTGGCGGTGAGGAAGGAGACCCCTGGCCCTACTTAGAGTCCATGTTTTCATTTGTCGGAGTGAAAGACAATTCATATAGAAGGTTCGAGGACGCCGGCGCACTGAATCGTTCTTTGTTTAAATAGTTCAAAGTTACTATTAGATTTAATGTTATTACCTTGACAAACTATACATCATTAAAAAGATATAAGACTCAAGTTTCAGTATTTGACCACTATTTTATTCTCAGAAACTTATAGTGACAATCATGTCTTAATTTGTGTCAGGAGTTATGTAATCAAAAAATGAGTCGATAGGCTACCTTTAATATGAATTGTGAGCGTCAGCCGTTCCCATAAAAAAAAAAAAAACTCCTGTGAGATCGTCATGACAAAACAACGTCCTTCATGGCTTTTAGCTTGTGCAGATTTGGACAAATAGGCCCATTGATAGATTTCCATAGGTTTCCGTCAGATTTCTATAGAGAGGAATAATATTTATTGAATTTATACCCAAAATGCACCGATGCCTGTGTGTGCAGTGATCACTTCGTCAAAGGGGAGTTAATACAACTTAAGTGGCTATGTTTGTGTAACGTGTAACGTTTCCGAACTTTGTAAAGTCAAAGTATGTGTGTAAGAAGAGGTAGTTGCTGATATCTACCGCCTCGTTGGCATGAAAACCTTTCAATTCAGTTGAAAAATCGCTCCTCTTCATAACGTAAGGATTACGTCCAACATATGTTTGATTTTTTGTTTATATCTTTCTCTTGTAATAGCGTGTAAAGTAGTACAGTGCGGACTTTCCTCCATCTCGTCCATTGCGCTCTTCACTCCCTGCCCTCCATCTGAATTTCGCGCGTCATCATAATCACGTGACAGAAACCCAGCTATACTTGTACTTTTACTTTCAGTACTTGAGTAGTAAATTTTAAAATAAACTACTTTCAATACTTAAGTACAATTTTTTTTTAAATACTTTTGTACTTCCACTTAAGTGTTCTACTCAAGTCACTTTTTTGAGAGAGCACTTGTACTTTTACTCAAGTCTGGGTCTCTAGTACTTTATACATCTCTGATCGTGTGACACATGAAGAGTTTCATAGTGATGTACTTCTCTGATGAAGATTAAGAGATAATAACCAAAGATTAGATCAACAGTCCACACTATTGCTAAAGTGGTAGATTCAGAGAACTGCTGGAGGAAAATAACTAAATTTGTCTTTAAAGTGAATTGGCCCAACAAGGGTAAAAAAGAACAAACTGGATTAATTTAAACTATATAATAAGGCAGTGGCTATATTTGCACTAAGTACAAATAGATGCTATTTAAACTGAATGGGAAAATAGCATATCACTGTAAAAAGTGAACATGTGCAGATGTTGCTTTAAGGAGGTATTTCTAGCTGATTCTACCTACACATTCTAATTTTGTTGTTGTAAACCTAGAAGGCAATGTTCAGTGTGAATGTCCTGCTTACCTCTGTTCACTTTATCTTTGCGTCAGACTGCAGTGGAATGGAGCCAAAGGGAATATTTGAGAAACAGTTTAGTCTGAGCAGTGAGCTGCTTGTTTGTTGTTGGTAGTTTACCTTATCTGTTAAACACGCAGAGACAGGGAATGTGCACATTCATTCTGATCCTACTTTAATGGAAATAATCTATGCTTGGCATGCAGAAATAGTAGTTGCATGTGCTATATGCGTAAGAAAGAAACTGCATGTCAAACCTCATACATTATACAGTAATGACAAACTACAGTAGCCTACCTTTGTATGACAGCTTACTTATAGATTTCAAATTTCCAAAGCAGAGATGAAAAGAGAGAAAAATAGACCCTGTTTTAATAACTGACTCACGTGATTCCCACCAAGGAATGTCAACCAAGGAAATCGGATCTGTTAATGTGATGGCATGTGTGTACCAGTCCAGATTCACTCATGTTGGGGTGAGTCATAGACATCACCTCCTTAAATCACACACTTAAGCTTTTCATCGGAAGTTTTAGTTACTGGAGAAGTTTCAGGGACAGAAATGAAGGTAAATGAGATGTCCCACTAAATGTATTATATTTACAGATTGAAAAGTTTGATAGGAGCTCTGCTCAATGGAGTTATCTTGTGAAAAAGGAACACATTTCTCCCTCTCACATAAATATCAGAGAGATCAGAGAAGTCAGAGATTATTAATTACAATAATATAATATTTCTCCCAGTACTGTATCTTCAATCTGCACGATCAAGCAAGGCCTGTTTTTTTTTTCCATTTCACAACTTAAGGCATTCAGACGCTCAGTTAAAATGTGACCTCTCGCTTGCTTTGATCGGCTGCTTAAAAGCAATTATGAATTATGATTTTGGTCTGGTGACACAGTGCACACATTATTTAGAATCCTGTGACACAAACTGAATGAAGCACAAGATGAGATTCAGTCCATCCTCTTTCCTCTCAGTGGCGGGGGCGAAACGCTTACAGTTTACAGTTAATAAGAATAAAATATGTGTTTTTATAATTTGTTTTGAAGGCTCCTTTCACAGATGAAAAATTATATTTAAATTTTATGAAATCAGAAGTGTGCAATATTTGTAATTCTGTCATTCTAGTGTTCTGTGTACTGCGTGATTACGACTCAAATAACCAATTTCATGTTTTTATTTGATATTTATGGTTTGATTTTCCCACAATAATGTGAAATATATCTGCATATCAGACATACTCATGCACATTTTAAAGGTTTTGGCCACATCTGACATCTGTAGAAAGTCATTCACCCAGTGGAAACCTATACAAACTTAGAAGATATTTTGTTCCTGTATTTTTCTTTTATGGTATACGGATGTTGATGGAAAAAAATATGAGATGGGAGGAAAAATTAGGCTTTATGACAGCCTCACTGATCCAGCCGAACGAGAGGGTTTTTCATAGCAAGTGCGCCCTCTGGTGACCAGTGTGCGCCTCTCCACTTAGCCTACTGAGCTAAATTATTTATCCCAATTAACATTCTTTTAGCACTTTAGATTAAAATAGCCCTATTTTTACGAGCACAAAGTTCATCAACGAAAAATAAATGTAATAGTTGAAGATTTTATGTTGGACTAAAGACTAACTAGCAAGTTTGCTGACTAACAACACTGGCAACAATGGTTAAATCTGAGGTACAGGCTTAAGGAGTTTAGCATTTATTTGGATTGACACTTAAAATAAATTAGTCTCTATTGAGCCTATTTACATATTTAAAATGAGCACCATACAAAAGACACCATCCACCATCCAAAAAACGAACAAAATAACAAGAGTATTGCCAAAAGAAAGAACCAAAGTCAGCTTGCTGAAGGCTACACTGGCCAAATCATTTCCATCAAACAGTGATAATATTAAACATATCAAAAAAGCAAAATACAATAATGCCATGAGTTTAAAAAACAATCACACTCATAAAACCCCAGCTGAACACAATAGAACTGAAAGAGACACGAGATAATTGACAAACACAATATAATTCATGACCAAAACTGATTAAAAAAAACATAATAAAAAATTACATGGCTCTTCATCCTCCTAGTCACACACTGATAAAAATGATTTTGTGGTGAAGTAAATACTACAGAAAAAAACAATGTAATTTACATGAAAAAAGTTAGTTCAGGCAAGAATTAAAAAAAATAAGTAAATTCTATAGTAGTACTTAATTCAAGCGAGTAGAAATGAAAGCGTGAATATCAACTTAATAAAATTAAGTAAAAATTACTCAACTTTTCTGATACTGGTGTTCCCATCATGCACTGGGCCTTGAATAATTAATGAGGTTGATTTATCACTGTTTTCCAGCTCTATTTACACTATTTTATCATTGCTTTTGTTGTTAGGATTAGTAACTTGCCATTTTGTGACATTTGGAGTTCATTTTCAACTTAAAATGACACATTCAAATACAAAAACGATCCATCAAATGTTACCGTCATTGTGTATTGTGTACCAAGTATTGAGGTCTCAGCGTTCACACATACAACTTCTGAAATGAAGATATGGTGACACACTATATCTATCAAATTGTTTACGTAGTCTTAGACGTGTCTAAGTAAATCATATACTTAAAAAGTGAAATCTAAATCAATGTTGTATTGAGTGAAATGTATTACAAAGAAAAATTCAACCAAATAGATATTACTCAACCTTTTATTAGTTTAGTAAAAATTACTTAATTTCTTTAGTTACTTTCACTTAACTTAGTTAAGTAGAGTTTACTTAATTCTATGTGTGAAATTTACTCAAAAAATATTAGTGCAAAAACTTGCCTTGAAAAAATTAAGTAAATTTGACTTATTGTTTTTTTCAGTGCATGACAACAAATAACATGAAAGAACTAATCAGCACCTCATAAAATATCTGAATTTGACCATTTCAATTACTCATTTTTGCACATTTTAACAATGAAGATAAAGATATCTACCAAACGTATGAAGACATACTATGATTTAATTGCTATAAAAATGTCATTGTTTTAAACACACATTTGTGTTAAGTTTGTACTGTAACATTCCTCCTGACATTATCACACCAAGTATTTTCATACTCTAATGCACCAACTTTAAAATAAAATAAATGAATATGAATAAGCTGCACCAAGATAATCAAGGCAGGTTGTGGTTCTAGTATTGATTTCAAATATCAATAGTATTTCACAGAAATGTATGTGTCTCTTAATTTATCATTTAAATCACTAAAATAAACATACATCAAATTCGTTTTTAATGTCATATTTAAATTGGTAATAAGTGAAATTTGACTGGTATTGGCACTGACTATTGAAATCCTGGAATCGAGACACAATTACTCTGTGAGCGATGAGAGTTTCAGCTGATCTTCTCTCCATCATTTCCTAATTCTCTTCAGTGTCCCTTTCAATGAAAGTATCAAAATTATAAATGATGTTACATTGTTTTATTGGCTGCCTCAGTCTGAGTCTGATTGTAGGAATCCTCCTTTTCAAAGTAATGTCAGTCAGGTCACGTGGTGCGTTATCACAAGCCATCATCCTAGGAAAACAAAGATTCACAGATGGTTAAACATATCATGTTTTTTTGGACTTTTGGACATACCATGGACTTTTTCCGTGTTTTTCCGACAACCCAGAATGGAAATCGGGGTGGTGATGGTGCAGTGGATAAGACACATGCCTTTGGTGTGAGAGACCCGGGTTCGAATCCACTGTCCCTGAGCAAGACACTTAAAGGTGCAATGTGTAACATTTTTGAGTATCTATTAACAGAAATGCAATATGACATCCATAACTATGTGTTCAGTGGTGTATAAAGAACTTACTTAATAAGCCGTAATGTTTTTATTACCTTAGAATGAGGCATTTATATCTACATAGGCGCGGGAATCCCCTTCTATGAAGGTCGCCATCTTGTGACGTCATGTTTCTACCGTAGCCGAGAGCGAACAAACAGCGTTACAGAGCGCGTTTCGTCACTACATTGAAAGAGAAGCCGCAGGAAGCTAGAAGAAGCTAGTCATAAACACCGTGAGTAGTGACTTTTCCCTTGTCAGTGGTGTAAATATGTAGTTGGATTGTTTCATGTAACTTAATTCTTCTCCCTCGCTGTGTTATGGCTTTGCTATGTGGGGATAAATGTGCTGGTTAAGTTCGTGAGACAGCTGATTAGTAGGCTACTCTTGTCATTGACCGTAAAACAGTTACAGGAATCACCAACCCGTCGATCTTGGACGCATTTTAAGTCGATCGAGTTTCCAAAGTCAGAGAAAAAAGCCTATTGTGTGTAGTAAGTGGTGTCTAGGGGATGCGGAGGCGCGCGCGCTGTCACAATCACGTTATTTTTGCCGCACGCACCTTTGGGCTCATGCGGACGCGTCGAGTGTAAACAAGGCTTAACGCTTTAACCAGCTCAGCCACAGTAACAGCTCATATTAGCCAGCTAAACTTTTACTACCATGTTAGAAAAAATATACAGTTGCATAGTTTCATGTGGTTCTTCTCCCTCGCTGTATTATGGGTTTGCTATGTGGGGAGAATGTGCTGGTTACGTTCGTCAGACAATCAGCTGATTACTATTATTATATTATGTAAGGTGCATTGTGTAATATTTCTGAGGATCTATTGACAGAGATGCAATATAAAATCCATAACTATGTTTTCAGTGGTGTATAAAGACCTTAATGAACCGTTATGTTTTTATTACCTTAGAATGAGACATTTATATCTACATAGGCGCGGGAATCCCCGTCTATGAAGGTCTGAAGGTATGTTTCTACCGTAGCCGAAAGCGAACAAACAGCGCTAAAGAAACCTCATTGCTTGACTTACTACTCTCTGCTGCTGACTCAGACGACGACATATTTTGTCTTACGTCGGCCACCGTAGCTTCTCATTCGAGTTTGAAAACCGAGGGATAGGCCGCGAGTGACTTGGTGTTTGCAATTTGCAAGTTTCACCACTAGATGCCGCTAAAAATCCCACACTGCACCTTTAACCCCTAGTTGCTCCAGAGGCGTGCGACCTCTGACATATAGCAATTGTAAGTCGCTTTGGATAAAAGCGTCAGCTAAATGAATAAATGTAACTCCACCACAACTACATAAATGTCTCCACTAATCCAGAAACATCCAGGTTCATCTAAAAGTTGCAACTTCTTCCTGAGTCACGGAGGCGGGGAGCAGCAGCTCATTTGCATTTAAAGAAACACACACAAAAATGGGGCGTTTTTGCTCACACCCAAAAAGGTGCAAATTTGACCAGCTATAATAAATGATCTGTGGGGTATTTTGAGCTGAAATTTCTCAGACACATTCTGGGGACACCATATATATTTATATTACATCTGGTAAAAAGTGTACGTAATTTCACCTTTAAAGTAATACAATTGTAACTACATTTAGATATAGCTGACACTTTGATCCAAAGCGACTTACAATTGCTATATATGTCAGGTCATCATACTATAGACTTGAATTGTCTTTTGTTGTTTGTGGAATGTACAGAGGTTTTCTTTCCCTAAATATTAAATGGGCCTCATTTGTAAAATGCTGCGTAGAAACCGTTGTGCATTTGATCTAACGAGCGTTTATCAAATATGAATATGTGATTCAGAGAATGAACGCACGCATGCACAAACAACATAAGTAGGCCTTTCTTCCGAATGTGAAATTAAAAATTAAACATTTGTGCACCGCTGAATGACTTTTGTCTTGTTTTAACAATGTCTTGTAATAATGTCATTAACATATAAAAGAGCACCAGTCAACGTCAAAAACTTTTACTTGAGAACGGTGAGTAGCAAGATTTATTATATTTCCAAATACCTGCAGTTTTCTGACTCTCTGCCAGAAGAAAAAGTACATTTCCACTTCAGAAAGACTTTTTTTTCTAAATATGAACGTCGGTGTGGATTTTAGCGTATTACTCTAAGATGAAATCTGTGGCTACACACGTTTTATAAATGAGGCCCATTATCTTAAATTGAATCAAACCTTCTGTAATACATTAATACAAAATTATATTATGATTTCAACATCGCATCTAAAATTCTTGAACTGACCATTAAGAGTTATTTGTGTTTTTGATGATGTAATAATAATTAAAATGATTATTAAATATTAAAATCAAATGTAATCATACCACTGTTCTTTTATGCACAGTACATCTCTTATATCTTGTTAAATCAGCTGTATGTAATACTTACATTCAGTGGTACTGCTATATGTCTCTGTCTGCGACGGTAGTAAATCGCAGCCGCACCAGCAGCATAAACCAGCAGAACACCAACAACAACACCACCAAAAACAATTCCTGCTGCAGCTTCTGAAGACAGACCTGAACCTGGAACATCTACAGAGAAACAGACATGATTGTGAATGATAATCTATCCAGGACTTCATATTTTTTTAACTTTAGACCCTTCTATATTGATCATCAGCAGGAAACAGCAGCGTTAACTGGAAAACTAATATGCATTTTTCAAAGTATTTAGTTAATACCACTAGTCAAAGTGTTATTGGGCAAAGCTCAAAAAAAGACAACAATTCAACATTGAGGTGATTTAAAAATATGAACCTTTTTGTTTCATTCCTCAAAGGAAAATGCTAATGATTAACTTGTATTCTCACCAATGACAGTAAGATTGAATCTCTTCACTCTAGTGATGCTGAAGCTGCTGTTGTTGATGATGTTGATCTGTAGTTTATATTCTCCAGAGTCTGTGTTTGTGGTGTTCATGATGGTCAGAGATCCAGTCTGATGATCCAGCTTCAGTCTGTCTCTGAATCTCTCAGTGTCATTATTACACTGAACATCTGTACAGGTTTTATTTGGATTTCCAGTGATTTCAGCGATGAGAATATCATTAAAATACCACATCATCACATCATTTGGTTTTCTTGCTACAGGAGGATCAAAAGTAACAGATTCTCCCTCGTTTCTCTTCACTTCATCTCTTTCAGCAGCAGAAACACCTGAAACACAAACCAAACAGATGCTGGAGGATCTTTTGCTGAAAACAAACAAAAACTGCACAACATGAGAGAACTGTGAACATGACTTTGCATAAGCCCTTTCTTGACTCTCGATCTGAAAAGAAACATTTTGGTCTGTGCCTATGAACAGACATTAACAATGTGCTTTAAAAATATATAATCTGCATTTAAACGTTATTAAATGACTCACCTTGAACAGTAACATTGAAGATTGTTTCACTGCCACTGCTGCCAAAGATCTGTAGTTTATATTCTCCAGAGTCTGTGTTTCTGGTGTTCATGATGGTCAGAGATCCAGTCTGATGATCCAGCTTCAGTCTGTCTCTGAATCTCTCATTACACTGAACATCTGTACAGATAATGCTGAGATTCCCAGTGATGTGAGCAATTAGAGTGTCATTATAATACCATTTAATCTCTTCTTGTTGGTTTGTTTGAACACCAGTGTTTAGAGTTACTGAATCTCCCTCCATCACTGACACTCGGTCTGTATCAGCACCAGATGAATCTGAAGAAGAAACATAAGCTTAATTCAATTATACAATAGGGCTGTGGAAATGTTTTTCTACAGATCATTAAGATTTTAAGTCGACAAATATTTTTGGATTCTGAGATATTTGAACAACTATTACAAAAGCTGCAAACTTTCACTGATACAGAAGTAAACATACAATAGGAGACAGGGCTGTAAACGTCTTGATGTGCAGATAAAGGTATTTTGTACTTAATTTGCATTCTGGGAGACATCCATCTTCTGTTGGGCAGAACAAAATGAAAAAAAAAATTATATTCAAACAAAATGAGAAAAATTTGGTACATCTTCATCCTGTTGAAAGGTTTATCCAGCTGGTTCTTAATGCATCATGTTTCCTTCTGGAGTATCAGTGAAGGTTTGCAGCTTTTGTAATAGTTGTGTTTGAGTCCCTCGGGTGTCCTCAGTGTGAAAAGATGGATCTCATAATCATACAGTCACTGCTGGAAACGGTTTAAATATGCAAAAGATGCTGGAAAAAAAAAAATCTGAATAACATTAGGCAGTTTAGCCGTTCAGAACAAACAAGGGACTCCAGAACAACCATCATAAAACAAGAAAACAGTTGTGGATCATCCAGGTCGAACCACTTTTTCTTGTCTTGTGGACAATATGTATACATAATTTATGTAAAATATCTTATTCAGGACAGTGGGCTACTAATTTAAAAACGGATAATAGGCCTACAGTGCCGTGATGATCTACTAAATTATTGTTTTCTTGCTGTTTGAATCTCCGACGTAGACGTGTTTAGGCTACATTATATTTAATTAATTAGGCAGAACCTTTTGTCCAAAACAATTTAGGCTACATCACATTCTAGCAACTGTTGCATAAGAATACCAACATTTACTGACGGTTTGATGCCATGTTACGTATGTATACCAAGTTATAAACAAGTTTACAAGGACCCCTTTTTTACGGCACTAAATATGATTTCGGATGATTCCTTTGTGAATTCTGTGACAGTGTTAGCCTGTTGTTAGTAATTATGTCATACAATTTGTTACCATGACATAATCTCAATTCTCAACCCTATAATAATCCTGCTATAACTACAGCGCCTAATATTTGTGGTCACAGAAATCAATGCAACACCAGAAAATAGATTATAACAAATCTTAGTCTTACCATGGAGGAGTGAAATGAAGATCACCGAGAGCAAATTAAAGAGAAGCAACATTTTGCCCACAAAAAAAATGAATGGCTATTCATAAAAGTGTGTTGCTTTAACGGCGTAGGCCTACTTGTAAAACCAGTTAGTGAATCCTGACAGCCTGAATGGAAGGTAGAGCGTTGACGCAGTGAACGTTCTAATCTGCATATATGCAAATCATGTAACATGAATAATACGAGAGACTTAATACATAAAACCTGGTGGACCTGCACCTGCTGGTAGAACTACACAATAGCCTAAGCATTATAACTAACTGCAATATGCTTCTGTATTAATGTCATGGCTATTATGGAAGCTTGTTTTTCTGCCACGAAAAAAAAGAGAGTTAACTGTGACTATTTATCTCACAATTCAGAATTTTTTTCTCGCAATTGCTAGCTTAAAAATATAATTTGCGAAGTCATGATTGCGTGAAATAAACTCGCAATGCAAGAAAATATCAGACTTGTGAGGTGACTCACCTTTATTATTATTTTTATTCCATGATGTAAACAAGCTTCGATAAATAATAAATATCACATGAGTCCACACATTTACTAACTAAATAAAATTAACAATATGTAAAAATGTAAATGAGACAGGTTGTTGATGGTCAGATGGTCCTGTTAACAAAAGATAAAAGCATGTATCCCATGATAGTGCTCCAATGAGAAGCATTAAAACTACTTTTCTATCTATACATTTCTATTCTAACTCGTTTCTGTCTTCACTTGGAGAGGAATAAAGATGACTGAGTGAGTACCTTTACAAAACCACCTGACTCATGGTATATAACAAACGGGGAGGCCACACGCAAATTAAATTAATCAAAAAGTAAATTTATTAAGGTAATGAATAAATTAATCAAGCAAACAACATCAAAACAGAAAAAAAAAATACTACATAACAAATACTCAAAAACTCCTGCTGTTGGAAAGGCTTCAATGGACAACCACACTGGGGAAGAAGGAACTTTTTCAGTCGATTCATCGCCAACATCAACCACAGCTCGACTCTACCCTGCAAACACACAAAGAGAGAACACACAAAAACAAGACAAATGCCCCTGGGCAACAGGAAAACACAAATGAGGAATCAGAAGCTAGTCAGGATTGTAACAACACATACTGGTTGTCACTGACAACTTTACCAGGTGTGCTCAAGCATATGCAAACAAGAACAATAACAAGAAACAATATTCAATTATTTAATTCCATGCTTTGGACACTTTTGCACTGAAGAAACAGATCTGATGAGATGTGTAAGCTTAGCGTAAAGGCCCGTTCACACCAAGCACGATAACTATAAAGATAACGATAAAGATATAATTCTAAAAATCGTTCTCCATATTAAAGAATAACAGAGTTCACACCACAACTATAACGATAAAGATATGAGGAACGATATCGTTGGGATCACTTTCAGAACGATTTTTTTCCAGCTGTCGAAAGATAAAACACTGACAGCCAATCAGAATCCATTCTAATTTAAAGGTCTACTTTGAAACCGCAGCGCGGGCGCGCGCGTGCTTAGAATAAAAAGACCGTTATCAGTCGTTGGTGTGGACGCATATATAGTTATCTTTATCGTTATCTTTATAGTTATCGTGCTTGGTGTGAACGGGCCTTAAGTTCTGACAGGAAGACTCAATTGCTACATCATTTATTACCTTCTCATCAATCCAATCACGTTCTAATGCGTGAAGCATAAAAGATGCATACTTACACTCGTCTGAGTTTGCAGATCCTGACACTTACCACCATCCTCCCCACCTCCACCAAGACGGTCTTCCCTCCATCCTTCCTACCACCACCAGGATGGTCCCTCCCAATACCCCAAGGGGGGTCGGCTGCACCCCTGCCTTCATCTTCATGCAGAACCCGTAGCCTCGGATTGTGAGTTACGGACGGGGCCACGCCAAAGAACTTTATTGCATATATTGCTTGCTGGACTGTTAATAAAATGCACAATTGTACAGTATCTTCTCTACCGAGTCTTTCTGGTAGAAATGCTGATAAATGTGCTGCAAAAATGAAAGAAGCATAAGGAATTGCAAGTGAAGGCAACAAAAAAGTCTAGCAACGGGAAAACAAATGTAATCATCAATAGAAATCTTTTTTTTAAGGTTTATTAAGGTTAAGGTTATTTTTCAATAAGCTACCTAAAGCAAAACAACTAAAAAAAAACATTTTAATCTCTAATTTACTGGAAAAAAAATAAAGAAAATACAATAAAACTCAACTTTCCCTTCCCTAAATCAAAACAGCATGAAAAAGAGGAATATAGGCAATAAACGGCATGCATATATGTCCCTTTGTTGTTGTTGTTTTGTTTTTTTGTAATGCTGGTTGAAACTCTCTTCATAGTAACCACTAAGTTTGGTGATCTGAATGTTGTTATATGTAATGTATGTATACAGCTCTGGGAAAAAAATAAGAGACAATTGCAAAATTATCAGTTTCTCCAAGTTTTAATATTTATTGAGTGTTTTGTTAAAATGTATATTTTTGTTTTATTCTATAAACTACTGACAACATTTATCCCAAATTCCAAATAAAAATATTGTCATTTAGATCATTTATTTTAAGAAAACAACTACTGGTCAAAATAACAAAAAATATTGCTGTCAGATCTCGAATAATAGAAAGAAAATAACTTCATGTTCATTTTTAAACAACAAAATGTTTTAACTTTCATGCGTCTTGGCATGCTCTCCACCAGTCTTTCACATTGATGTTGGGTGACTTTATGCCACTCCTGGTGCAAACATTCAAGCAGTTTGGCTTTGTTTGATGGCTTGTGACCATCTATCTTCCTCTTGATCACGTTACAGAGAGGTTTTCAATGTGGTTCAGGTCTGGAGATTGCCCTGACCATGACAGGGTCTTGATCTAGTGGTGCTCCATTCACACCTTGATTGACCTGGCTGATATTTTTGCAGTGGTCTCTTAATTTTTTCCAGAGCTGTGTATATACCTAAAGGATTATTAGGAACACCTGTTGAATTTCTCATTAATCAAATTATCTAATCAACCAATCACATGGCAGTTGCTTCAATGCATTTAGGGGTGTGGTCCTGGTCAAGACAATCTCCTGAACTCCAAACTGAATGTCAGAATGGGAAAGAAAGGTGATTTAAGCAATTTTGAGCGTGGCATGGTTGTTGGTGCCAGACGGGCCGGTCTGAGTATTTCACAATCTGCTCAGTTACTGGGATTTTCACGCACAACCATTTCTAGGGTTTATAACGAATAGTGTGAAAAGGGAAAAACATCCAGTATGCGGCAGTCC